ACACAGAGATCCATACAATAAATCATATTTTACATATCCCCCCCCCAAATATCACATACGAGCTTGGCCTATGCGGATATCCCATACGTGTGTATGTTACCACACCCCAGTTTAGCCGGTGTAAATATTATCATACGTATGATATCATACCGGCTTGATCTACGCAGATATCTTCATATGTGTGTATGATATCATATCGGCTGGTCGTGTGCAGATATTCTCAAACGCGTTTATGATATTGTTACACGCATGAGCGTGACTTTAAGCACTAAAGATAACAAAAACATAATCGAAATGAATCAATAATTGTACAGTTTAAACTTGTTTTACTGTGAATCTAACCAGCTTGTTATTATCCTATTTAATTCAAAATATAAATTATAAAATTTCAAAGCGGCTGCAGTAATTTAAGAACTGATATTAATTTAAAAAATTAATATTATCTTACCCCAAATCCCCCGCAGGATAGCTGATGATCATCATAATTAATTGGAGTTTGGAAGTTAAAGCGCCACATTGTTGATCTTCCAGGCGGGTCAATCATACGACCGTGGCCCGTGGTGTCTTGTATCAGAGCCACACCAAGAAATGCCATTATCAAGACGAGATTTTTCATCCTCACAGGAATCTTTGAATGTAATAGACCAATATATAAGATAACTGTTTTTCTTTTCTCAAATGAATTTATTGTTTAAAAGAGACGAATTATATGCTAGCATAACCTGCTTACTAGTGACAGTGGAAATTACCAGTCTAGGAAGTTAGAATTTAAAGAAAATGAGAAAGTTCATATTGCTCTGCCAGTTTTGAACCTTATAAGGGGACTCGTTAGGCCTGAAAACACAAAATTGTCTCCTTGAGGAATTGTGACATAAAGAACTAAAAACGTATGAATTTTTGCATAATTAGGCAAGCCTAAACGTATTTTCTTTTATTCTTACTATAATAATAATAATAATAATAATAATAATAATAATAATAATAATAATAATAATAATAATAATAATAATAATAATTATTATTATTATTATTATTATTATTATTATTATTATTATTATTATTATTATACATACATACATACATACATACATACATACATACATACATACATACATACATACATACATACATACATACATACATACATACATACATACATACATACATACATACATACATACATGTACTTACCTCAGAGATCTTTGAATACGGTGCAATAATTATTTCAGTTTTCTAGTATCTATTGATACGCTTTTGCTTAAAATGCAGTAATATTGTTTAATATATACCCCCATCATCTTTATCAATTTGCAAACAAACCTCTTCAGGACAACGTAATTTCTGATAAAGAGAGTGGAGGGATAATATGGCAACACATCTTTTGTGAGTCACATCTCTTCTGGGAAGAAAAATGACGCAAACGATTTGATAAATTCACAAATGTGATAAATAATTTAAATTTATATCATTTTGATGTCTTTCTTGTCAGGGAAGAAATTAAATCCATGATCCAGTATACGCAGTACCGTCGTTAAGACCTAAGATTAATTGTAATAAAATCAACGTAGTTGTAGGTTAATAAGGTACAGAATTTTCTGGTAGTTATTCACGAGTGGTATGGTAAAGTGGGTACAAGCCGTGTCCGGGTATGAGTATTATCTAACCAATACACGAGATAGAAAAAAAATAAGAGACAAGAGGGATTTGACCTTCACAACTCCGACATCGTGCAGAAAATGCAATAGTTTTTTTTTCTCGGCTAACTTTTGCGTTCATTTATAATAATTGGAAATGTTCTTATGGTTAGATCATGTATCTAATACAGAAAACTGGTTTAGTTACCAAACTGTCAAAGTTCGTTGACGCAAAATTAACTTCCGTGCATTGAAGCATAAGAAAATCTCATCTAAACCTATATTAGTTCCTAGTTATGGTGTATTTTAATACTCTAAAATTATTCGATGAATTATTCTTAGTCGTATTTAATTTTTATATACTTTCCTTTTCATCATCTCCTTCTGTGCTTTTCACGTTTTCGCCTAAATAAATTAGTGACGTCTGGGTGAAACACTTCTAAAATAGGTCAACACATGTGAAATATGTGCAGATCATCGGTGGCATCCCTATTTAAGTTTACTTTATCCAAGCATTGCAAAATGTACATAATTTGTAAATGATGAAGGTATGTAATCATTTGTACAAATAAGATGGTCTATACTCATTTGTACATATAAGATGGTCTATAATCATTTGTACAAATAAGATGGTCTATAATCATTTGTACATATAAGGTGGTCTATAATCATTTGTACATATAAGATGGTCTATACTCATTTGTACATATAAGATGGTCTATAATCATTTGTACAAATAAGATGGTCTATAATCATTTGTACATATAAGATGGTCTATAATCCTTTGTACAAATACGATGGTCTATAATCATTTGTACATATAAATGGTCCATACTCATTTGTACAAATAAGATGGTCTATAATCATATGTACAAATAAGATGGTCTATAATCATTTGTACAAATAAGATGGTCTATAATCATTTGTACATATAAATGGTCTATACTCATTTGTACAAATAAGATAGTGTGTAATCATTTGTACAAATAAGATGGTCTATACTCATTTGTACAAATAAGATGGTCTATAATCATTTGTACAAATAGGATGGTATGTAATCATTTGTACAAATAAGATGGTCTATAATCATTTGTACAAATAGGATGGTATGTAATCATTTGTACAAATAAGATGGTCTGTAATCATTTGTACAAATAAGATGGTTTCTAATCATTTGTACTAATAAGATTGTCTGTAATAATTTATATAAGATACTCTTTGATAATTTGTACATAAAAGATTGTCTGTAATCATTTCAACCTATTAGATGGTCTCTAATCATTTGTACATATAGGATGGTCTATAATCATTTGTACAAATAAGATGGTATGTAATCATTTCTACATATAAGATGGTCTGTGATCATTTGTACAAATAAAATGGCCTGTAATCATTTGTACATATAAGATGGTCTATAATCATTTGTACAAATAAGATTGTCTGTAATAATTTATATAAGATGCTCTGTGATAATTTGTACATAAAAGATGGTCTGTAATCATTTCAATCTATTAGATGGTCTATAATCATTTGTTCATATAAAATGGTCTCTAATCATTTGTACATATAGGATGGTATACAATCATTTGTACAAAAAAGATGGTCTATAATCATTTGTACAAATAGATGGTCTATAATCATTTGTACAAATAGATGGTCTATAATCTTAAGAACATCAGAAGTTTAAATACCAAGACACTGTAATATTTAAATAAAGATAGAAGATTACTTAGCGTAACAAACGTCTATATCTGGTAGTTTTGCATGTTTAGAAAATTCTTTTTTTTTCTATAACGTCATAAATTTTGATGGAATCAATATTAAAAAAACTCGGTAAAATTAAAACATTAAATAGGAGATTAATTACAAAATCAAAATTAACGTTTCAAACTTTGACAAATACCTCAGTGAAACCTTAACGCCAAATCGAGATCGTTTATGCAATATAGGGTCAAAAATAATTTTACAAAAATATTAAAAACATTTTTATAGTGCGAGCATTTAACAGTAAATATTTATTATTTAATGGTTTTGAAGTACTTTCCGGTGTATCGTTTGGAAAATTTATATGCCCCTGTTATAATCTAATAATGAATATCTTTGATAAACTAATGATTGGGGTGCCGGACTTGCGACCAGAAGGAAGCAGGTTTGAAATCTACTATTAAATTGCCCAGAGCGGCACGTCTTTGGATTAGGCATTTTGCTCCAATTACCAAGTACGTTCTTGTTTTACTGCTTTGTAGATATCATTACTTATTCCTCTTTTTATTGTGATATAGCCATTTTCTTTATTGGTGCCAATAAATATATGCTGCTTTGGAATATTTGTGATGTCATTTGTTTTATTTCTGACCATTATTTTGCATTAAAGTCAATAACAAGCATATTTTGGTCTTGAATCTAATTCTTTCAAACATAAAACTTTTATTTATCCCATTATTTATCTTTTTATCCAGCTTTTCCCTTCGTTATTTCATTATTTTTTAAACTCTGAATTCTGGACATTGTTCACATCTTTCGGCCCCACCAGTAACAAACATAATATATACGTGTAGATTTAAATGTTTCGACGTAAATAGTTGATAAATTGAATGTACTAGATTATTGGTCATAAGTATTCTAATTATATCACAGTATTTGAACTTCTTAAACTAAACTTTGTAAATATGAAATTTAAATACTGTAAATAACGTGTAAATGGTTGTTATTATTTTGGGGTTTTTTTGAAGGTGGAAAATATGTTTTTTTTTTTCAAGCTGACTAACACTATGTCATCATTCTTGCATTTCAAAGCTATCTAAAAATTCTGAAAACTTTAATGGAATATATCTCATTGTTGTCATTCTGTATAAATTTTGCTCCTTTATATGATAAATTTTAAATAGTGCTCCTGTGATAAATATTAAGAATGAACAACAGTGTGTATTCCTTGTATTTTTAATTCAAATTACATGCGTTGACCTCTATATTAATTGGGGTGGGCAAGGGGCAAAGTGGTTTATGGCACTCGCCTTTACAGATCACTCACATCGGTCCGTGTGGGTTCGAGTCTTGCCTCAACCAGCGTTGGTATGTGAAAACGTTCCTGGGTTCTTCTAACAAATATACTAGCCACCCTGTAAAACCTATCACTTGCTTAAAATGGCGTTAAATCCCAAACAAAAAAAAAAACATATTTATTGGTTAAGTGACCATGGTCTCAAACTGCATCTACAGTTGTTGCATTTTTTTTTTCTAAAAAAAATGTAATATACATTTCTTGAATGAAAATGTCTTTCATGTTCCTCTTTGGATACCAAAAACTTGCATATTTAGTCTTCCTTTAATATACACTGGTTTTGCAAGTTTACACTTATACACACTGCTCCGATGGCCTAGTGGTTAGAGCGTCCGACTCGGATGTGTGAGGCCGTGGGTTCGATCCCCGTCTGAGTCACACCAAAGACTTATAAAATGGCACTAACAGCTGCCTTGCCTGGCGCTTAGCATTAAGGTTGTTAGGACTGGTTGGCCTGGTGTCAGGATAATGTGACAGAATGGGACATCATGCTACATGTCTATCGCATGATGCCCCAGTGCTGGACATCACTATAAACTGCCACACTGCAAACATCGAAGCGATATAACTGAACAATTCTTAAAGTTATGTTAAAAATCTAAATTACTTGCATACATAACTTTAAATTAGTTTTGGCAGCTTTCTAATTTTATGACTGAACCTTCTTCAGGCATTTTATATATGGAGTTGTCTACAATGTATCATGGCATTTGTCTTGTGATACTTTTGTCTGCTTTGTAGCGAACGAACTGTTATGTGTTCTGATGCGTTTTGCCTGGTGTATAGCTAACGAACTTTGATGTGTTATAATACTTTTGCTGGTGATTTTGATTTTGGAATTTACATAGCCGATCAAGTTTAGTTGTTAGGAAAAATATTTGTTACATTGCTCATGATATTTGAATGTATGAATGCACGTTTTTTTAAATAAAGAAAGATGTAACACTCAGTAAAGTATGCCTGAAGTTCTTGCATTGGGTTTCATGTTTCATTATATGATAGACAGTAATAGATTCAATAACTAGATTTATTTTGTTATGTTCCTCCTGCACTGTTGTGTGCTATGTCTGTTATTAGAGTTTGCAAAGGTTTTAATCTACTGCAAAATATTCTTGCGAACAATTCGGAGAAATAATTATTATTATACTTCAGATTTCAGTTTTTTTTTAAAGAATTGTTTCTTCTTTTCCTTATTATGTTTTGTTTCTTCTTTTCTTTAAACATTCTTTTACCCTTTCGTTGATTAAAGGGAACTTACTTTTCGCAATGGAGAAAACAACATCGCTGCATTCATGCAAACGCTCAAAATGATCCTTTCTGTAATTTTCTAAAACCTGCATTAATATATTTTTGGCGGTGATTGCCAATACATGCATTCATCTTTATGAAAGCTTACAACATAGTCTACTCACAAAGTTATAGTCATTGACGTGTGAGGTTGACGTCAGTCTTAGCAAAGGTCCTTAACAAGGGTACAAATGGATTAAACTGTCATAAAAATACATTCGAGAGATACATCTCGATTTTCAATTCAGCTTGACATATTAACGTAAATGCATACACTTGTCATCAAAATGGTTTCGTTTAATATCAATAAACGCTGCCAATTGTTTTGTTATTAGTAAAGACTGGCAATATCGACAAAAGGATTAATGCAAAGATAAGGACAAAAGGTTTTATATCAACAACATACTTTATGAGGCTCATACCAATGAATTATCGATTTGCTTTCGCAGATAGAAATAAACACATGGATCAATTGTTTGTAGTTTCGATGGGATTTAAAGAGTGAGAATTGACAAAAGAGATTTATTCATTAGCCATAATAAGGCCTGGTTTCAATAACTGGATTCAAGATCTTGTTGTGTCTGAGAACGATTATAGAAAATCTTCTCAAGAACAATAGCATCTATGTCAAAATGTAATAATCAAATTTTAGTTATAAAGTTAGGAATAAGTAAGTATTGTGAATAAGAAAAACCTTCAAAATTTCACCATGACAACAGTTGTCAAGGGCCAATTGATATATAAATTTGGTTAAAATATTATTTCAGCGAGTTCACCCTCATACGGATTTTAAAGAAAGTTCTTGAATAAACTAATTTCCTCTGTGCTAGCGGTTGACTGTCTGATAACAGAGAGAATCAACATTAATCATTTCGGCTATTTAAAATTCTATTGGCAACTAAAATCCCACAGACTCTGTATGATTCGTCCAAATTTATTCTTCCTTTTTCCTTGTGCAACTTCCGTTTACCTGGCATGATCAGAACAGGATACGTCAACGAATTCCATCGGCGTCAGTAACGTCCAACAACACGTTTAGCTTGGCAGATTGCATGTGCTTTAACATTCTTATTACACGTAATCTCTAAAGTACACTCTCCTCCCTAATCCAGTTAAATCTCTAAAGTATACTATCCTTCTAATCCAGTTAAATTTCTAAAGTACACCATCCTCCCTAATCCAGTTAAATCTCTAAAGTACACTATCCTCCCTAATCCAGTTAAATCTCTAAAGTGTACTATCCTCCCTAATCCAGTTAAATCTCTAAAGTACACCATCCTCCCTAATCCAGTTAAATCTCTAAAGTGCACTATCCTCCCTAATCCAGTTAAATCTCTAAAGTACATTATCCTCCCTAATCCAGTTAAATTTCTACAATCTTTTGGGTGTATCAGAAATACACATCAACATTTCTGGTTTGGTTAAGGTGGAAAAGGGGTTAACAGAGTGGCTTTGGTTAAGTTTTGCTAGTCAGTGAAGGAAATGTGTCTTGCATAAGGAAAGAACACGGCCTGGTCTGAGAAATGTTCCCGTGTTTCCTGTGCTAACTAGTGAGTAAGCTCGTTGATGTACGGAAGAGACCAATTTGATTCACTTGTTTCAACTGATGATGTAAAATGCTTTAATTTCTATCTGTAAATCCCATCTTAGGAGTTGCATTCGTTAGTACTGATTTAAATTAATATTACATGCTGAAAACATTCCTACATCAACTCTCAGTGTGTGTCTGTGTGTGTGTCTGTGTGTGTGTCTGTGTGTGCGTGTCTGTGTGTGTGTCTATGTGTGTGTCTGTGTGTGTGAGAGAGTGGAAGGGACATGCAAATCTCAACTGTAAAACATTTTAATTGACCTTATGCAGCAAATCACCTAAAAGTGTTATTCGTTGAGAAAGATGTTGTCTTATGAAAGCGTCTAAAATTTATGTAAAACGAATGTAAACAATTAAATATTATCATAGAGACAATAAATGCACAAAGAACCTTTCATCGAAAATCGCATTTTATTTCAATCTAAAATTTATCTTTCCATGTATATCATAAACGATAAAGGTTCTTTTTATGAGCCTAAGTGTATCAATTGATTGGTCAGATTCTTTTTGCCCTGCAGTCTGTCTCAGTCACTGTTTACCAGAGTGTGTGGTTTAGATATACAACTAAATAGCAGTTTAACAAGGTTTTGACATGATTTGAATTCATCTAAATTAAGATTTCCCCTGTTGGTTGTGACAAAAAGTTGACCTTAGTAAACATTTTATCAAAGTGATGTAATTCCATTCCAGACAGAAGTCTGTGAGATAGCTACTTCGTGTAGTAAATTGTCATCCGTCACGTAAGAGCCCTAATCGCCCCAGAATTTTAATCTCTTCAACTGCTAAGTGAATTTATCATTGCCCAAGTATGTACAATAAAGATCGTCATTATTCATAAATACTAACATCGCGTGATAATAAAATGATCCATGTTGAAACAAACCTGTATCTAACGACAATCCTTTTTGGATCGTAATCAAAGGAAGGGTCAATAAGTAAGATTTTCATGACGTATTGTAATAGTGTAGGTTCGTGGCTACCAAAATTCTTTTGGTACCGATATTCACAAATTCAGTTGGGAATTGGGGAAGGCGTACTTCTCCGGTACACAATATTTTGACTTCTAATATAGGTCTCCACTAGGGCTGATGACTAAATTAAATAACATTTTACTCTTTGGCGTCGACTTTCTCGCAGTAATCATTTTCCAGAAAATACACATACTTCGGTTATTTAACACACATTTTCATGGTTTTTTTTTATAATTATTCACACTATCGGAAAAGACCCAAATAGATTACGCAATGGAGACTTTTTTCTAAACTCTCGGAACATGTTTGTAGGCTAATTAGGCTCAGCCTATAACGTTAATGTAAGGAGTATACTATTCGTATCTGGCAAACACGACAAGCCTGTGCTTAACTGTAATCTCTCTCTCTCTCTCTCTCTCTCTCTCTCTCTCTCTCTCTCTCTCTCTCTCTCTCTCTCTCTCTCTCTCTCTCTCTCTCTCTCTCTCTCTCTCTCTCTCTCTCTCTTTGTAAGTGTACGTTTGAGAAAGCATGGAAAAAAGAAGGGAAAATAGTAATCTGCCAAAATAGGAGTTTAAACATATTTTTCTTCCCGAAGTAGAGGAGGTTGCAGTTAAGCTGCGTTGATGTTTTAGTTTCTTTCGACGGTTGTTAATCCAACTTTGTCATGATCGTCAGTTTCTGTCAGCTCTGTGTCATTGAAGGTATTCAAGTTGCCAGGTTTCCATACCACGGAGGCATACAGGTATGTGTTCTTGACTTCAAGAGATTTTCCAGGTACGTTCGGTAAGGGTAAGCATCCATGCTGCTGCTGAATAGTTAAATCCATTTTACCGAAAACCGAATGCATAATATTGTTGAAGGGGCTAATTTGGCATCTTCCATTGAATTACTGTTTCCGTTTTGACAACGTTCAGGTACACGTGTTATTCAGAAGTATGCAATCTTCAGTTTGTACTTTGATTTCAGATTCGATCGGTGCTGAGGTTTATTAAAGATGATACTGGTTAAATTATATCCATTGGGATTCTTGGATCGCTATCATCATGGGTGGAACAGCAAACAATCGAGTTCTAACTTGGAATACTCGATGCAACATATTTCACTTTTTTAGTTAGTTATCACAAATGCCAAATTCTCTGACCGATGTAGTTTTCGGACTTTATTTGTCAAACAAGTATGCTTTGGAGAAATCTGTTTCTTGCGTCAAAACGGCATCTTTAAAATTATGCAGTCACCGTCGGATTTGAGACGGGTGCTACCTAACAAATGCTAATTTTAGCATATCTTTTAAGCCGTACCCTTGTTATCAATAGTGGACTACAAGGGATTTCTGGTCCCAAACTCTATTTTGTATTGGAAGAAAATATGATTCTTCCCTCCATCCATAGCCCCCTCAAGTTAGTCTAAACAACTAAGAAAACAAACTTTGCTGAGGCAACAAAATTTTTTTCGTAGTTGATTACGAACACGAGGACACGTTATTGAATCGTCGCCGTCGTCAAACAATAAAGGGGTTTCATCCAGCTTATAGT